TTTTTTTTTTTTTTTTTTTGCGGTACGCGGGCCTCTCACTGTGGTGGCCTCTGCCGTTGCGGAGCACAGGCTCCGGACGCGCAGGCTCAGCGGCCGTGGCTCACAGCCCTAGCCGCTCCGCGGCATGTGGGATCTTCCCGGACTGGGGCATGAACCCGTGTCCCCTGCATCGGCAGGCGGACTCTCAACCACTGCGCCACCAGGGAAGCCCTCCTATCTGCTTTTGCGTTCAGACTTTTATAATGTTGTTTTGGTTACAGTTTAAGAAGAAAATTAACTTCAAAAAGAAATTTTGTTAAGATTAGACTTTGCAGACTCCCTAAAATGATCTTGGGGATCCCATACTTTGAGAACTGCTGCATTGAAATACTTGCAGTCATTAAAAGCAATCTTTTGAAAAATATATGATGGCATATGGAAAGACTCATGATATAACACAATTAAAAGCAGAATAAAAAAATATTCAGTAGTATTCCAATTTTGTAAAGGAAAATACATCCACATTAAAAATATATACGCAAACATTATGCATATTTTGCAACATTTTAAATACTATATATATGCTTTGTAAAAAAATATTTTTATGCTTTTTTCCTCCAAAATCTCTATATTGATTGTGTATTGTTCTAGAAGATAAATAAATATCTATTTTTAAAAAAATGAAAAGAAACTTGCTCAAGGTCACTAAGACAATGTGTATAAATCCAGACAGGTTGATTCCCAAAGTCAGTCTTTCAACTACACCATTTTGTCTATTCACTCCTAACACTCTTTTCCATAAAGTATCCCTTGGTTGCTCCTTTCATAAATTCTCATTCTTACTAAGACTGTCATGATGATAAATTTGTTGTAGTTGATTTTAAGGAGTAGATGTGGAGAAGAAAGAGAAGAAATTAAAGAAAACAAATCAAAGAAGATAAGCGACACCACAATAATCAAAAGCTTTCCAGGATCTTATGACTTAAGTCCTCAAATGGAACTTTATATATTTACAATATATTTTTGAAAAAATGATTTCAACTAGCAAAGTGCTAAAGTCCATGTGATGGTTTTGAATTCTACTCTTTGCTACTAGAAATTTGCTGTTATTTTCTTCACATTAATTCAAATATTTTTGAACAGCTTAAAAAAAACTTACATTAACTCAAAGCATAGCCCCCTTTCAAAATTCAATATAGTAAAACAAAATAATTCTTAAATATTTAAAGTTCATCATACCTATCATAAAAGTTAAATATATGATTTCATGGAACTGTATTTTAAATATGTTATAGTATGATGAAACTCATTTTGACAAGCCCAGAAGTCTTTACACAAATATTCAAGGAAATTAATGTGTACTTAAACTGGTTGGTGAATCTCATGCAAAAAGAAGGCATAGAAACTGCAACAGTCACCCTAAAGATTTCTGTGTAATTCATAAATTGTTCATGACACTTAAAGCATTAGTTGATAATGTTTCCAATGGGTCTGAATATTTAAATGAGGAATTGTCTTGAATCTGTATTACTATATAAAAGAGTAAATGATTCATTCCTTATTAATAAATAACAATTTAAACAGAAATCAATCATAGACATCTGTAGCATTCTATAACACATCTGGGAACTTAAGTTTTCACAAGATGCCAAACATTTTTATATATTCATAAATCATATCACCTCTCTCCATCAAATATGTTTGTATATACAGTAAATAAAACCTATAATTCTCTTATATTTAGTGCACAGAAAACATTTTTTCTACTGACTAAACAGTGACCTTAAGTACCAGTAATACAGTTACAAAACTACATATAACAATGAACTTAGGGTCAGAATACCTGGGTAAGAAATCCTACCTCCATCATATATTAGTGTTAAACCCTGGGCTAATCACTTAATCTCTTAGGACACTTTTCCTCATTTCTATAATAAAAGAGTTGGGCAGTTTATTTCAAAGGTTCCCCCTTGTTTTTATTATTTAAAAATTTTTTTATTAAATCATCTTAACCAATTTATTATATTTTTTAATAAGTTCATTTATTTAATTTATTTTTTTTGGCTGCATTGGTCTTTGTTGCTGCACGCAGGCTTTTCTCTGGTTGCAGTGAGCAGAGGCTACTCTTCGTTGCGGTGTACGGGCCCTGGGCATGCGGGTTTCAGTAACTGTGGCATGTGGGCTCAGTAGTTGTGGGACACAGGCTTAGTTGCTCCACGCATGTGGGATCTTCCTGGACCAGGGGTTGAACCCGTGTCCCCTGCATTGGCAGGCAGATTCTTAACCACTGTGCCATCAGGGAAGGCCCCCCGCTTGTTTTTAAAACTTAATGAGTCCAGATGTGGCACATATATACAATGGAATATTACTCGGCCATAAAAAAGAACAAAACTGAGTTATCTGTAGTGAGGCAGATGGACCTAGAGACTGTCATTCAGAGTGAAGTAAGTCAGAAAGAGAAAAACAAATACCATATGCTAACACATATATATGGAATCTTAAAAAAAAAAAAAAGGTCATGAAGAACCTAGGGGCAAGATGGGAATAAAGATGCAGACCTACTAGAGAATGAACTTGAGGATACGGGGAGGTGGAAGGGTAAGCTGGGACAAAGTGAGAGAGTGGCATGGACATATATACACTACCAAACGTAAAATAGATAGCTAGTAGGAAGCAGCCGCATAGCACAGGGAGATCAGCTCAGTGCTTTGTGACCTCCTAGACAGGTGGGATAGGGAGGGTGGGAGGGAGGGAGATGCAAGAGGGAAGAGATATGGGGACATATGTATATGTATAACTGATTCACTTCGTTATAAAGCAGAAACTAACACACCATTGTAAAGCTATTATACTCCAATAAAGATGTTAAAAAAAAAAAAAATTTAATGAGTCTAAAGTTTAGTGAGGAATCTACAGGGAGTCTGACTAGAATATTCCACAAATAAAGACTACTGCCAGGAGAGAAGGCTCAGGTCCCAAAGCCTAGCTTTCCCCTCTGAAATGGGTTTCTTCTCTACCATTTCCTGTTTCAAAACAAAATATGATAAATGGTAACATATAATTACATTTTAAAATGGTATGACTATCAGCAAGTTTCTAGATCTAAATGATAAGAAACTTTGGCTTATAAGATAGAAGAAAGAGTAAATATTAGCTCACCATCATGACAGCTATGTCAAACAGTTCTGTATTTTTAAAAAAGATACTGTTGACCATGATATGATAGAGATTTTTAATTATGTCTTAGTTTCATATACTGTATAAATGCACATGTGAGATCTTGCCTTTATTACTGAAGCTGTCTTTATAACTGATAAAGCCATGCTGCATTTTTACAACAAACAGAAGGTTTTATAAACATTTCTCTTATGCTGCTTTCCCCTCCCTAGGATTTCTTTCCCAAGAATGATTTTTAAAAGGCGGACAGAGAGATCTTGACTCTACAGTGATAATTTGGTACTTTTGTTGACTTCATAAATATTCATTATGACTTACTTTATCAATATATAATTTCCTATTTTACGCTATTCTTCACAATTTTACTATAAGTTAAGCAATATAGTGACATAAATGTTTTCAAGGATACCCCTCCTAACAGAGTGGAAAAATTCAAGGAGCTGATGTTAAAATTCTTATTCTGGAATATTCTCACAGAATCAGAAGGGACCCCCAGTATTTTTCAACAGGGAATTCATGAAAGGAATATTTCAAATAGAAAGGTAAAAGCTCTTTGAAGTAGTTTTACTTTCAAAGGCTTCTCAAGAAGGTTTCTGGTGCCATCTTGAAATTTATGGAAACATATAATAATCAGAGATATTGGTTATTATGTACTTACACACAAATCTGCTACAAGTGTAAATTAGTAAAAACTTTTAAAAATAAGCAAATTGTAAGTATACATCAAGAACCTTAATAGTATTTTTATTTTTCTACTTTTCTACATTTTCCACTTATAAGTTTTCACACAATGTTCCCTACTTAAAAAAATTTATGCCCTTTGATCTAATAATTGTACTAGAAATAGAATTCTGTTCTATGAAACTTTAAAGAGTTATGTAATCACAAACAAAATTGGAAACAAATTAAGAATTTACCAATAGGGAATAGTTAAGTAAGCTATGGTACATCCACTCAATATAATAACATGTAAATATTAAAATCATAACACATGAAAATGCTAATGAAATAATCTTAAGTGAAACAAAAGTGCAAAAACATATGCCATCAAATGTTCATACTAAATTTTAACGATGCATAACAAAAAAGACTTTGAAACTTAACAACAAAAAAGCGAAAACACCCAATTAAAAAATGCACCAAGGACTTGAATAGACATTTCTCTAAAGATGATACATAAATGGCCAGTAAGCACATGAAAAGATGCTCGGCATCACTAATCATTAGAGAAAAGCAAATCAAACTACAATGAGATACCACCTCACACCCATTGAGATGGCTACTATCAAAAAGAAAGAAGAGGAAGAAGAGGAAGAAGAGGAGGAGGAGGAAGAAGGAGAAGAAAACAAGTGTTGATAAGAATGTGGAGAAACTGGAACCTTTGTGCACTGTTGATGGCAACGTAAAATGGTGCAGCTACTATGGAAAACAGTAAGGTGGTTCCTCAAAAAATTAAAAAGTTAATTACTATATGATCCAGCAAACGCACTTCTGGATATATACCCAAAAGAATTTAAAGTAGGGTCTTGAAGACATATTTGTATACTCATGTTCATAGCAACATTATCCATGACAGCCAAAAGGTAGAATCAACACAAGAGTCCATCAACAGATGAATGAATAAACAAAATGTGGTATATACATATGTATACATACATTGAGATACTATTCAGTCTTAAAAAGAAAAGAAATTCTGCAACATGCTACAACATGGATGAATCTTGAGGATATTATGCTGAATGAAATAAGCCAGTCACAAAAAATGAAACACTGTATAATTCCACCTATACGAGGTACTTATAGTAGTCAAAATCACAGAGACAGCAAGAATAGTAGTTGCCAAGGGCTGAACGGAGAGGAGAATGTAGAGTTGTTTAATGGATATAGAGCTTTAGTTTTACAAGATGAAGAGTTATGGGGGATGGATGGTGGTAATGGTTGTGACAACAACGTGAATGTATTTAATACCACTGAACTGTATACTTAAATATGATTAAGATGGTAAATTTTACGTTACGTGTATTTTAACACAATAAAAAAATTTAGTTATAGTTATGCTCAAAATAGAATCAAAACATAAACAAAATAACATCTTAAAATCAAAGACAACCATAATAGTAATAATAGAAAAATACCTTGCAGTTCTGTAGCAGTCGTATGAGATGTTCAAAGCAATTACTGTTAAGAAAAATAGCCTGAAGAACAGGCCTATCTCTGCAGTCTAACATGGCTGTAATGGTATCTAGGAAATTAAAAACAAAACTGTCCATTAATAAAGTGGAAAATCTGGGATAACAGAAACATTCACTCTAGCCATATATTTAATTTAGGCTTTTTGGCTAACAAACAGATGTAAATTAATAGGAAATAATAAAGAGGGGGAATAGAAAAAACCTGTACTTATTACTTGATAAGAAAAGTGAAAAAAAAATGTGAACATTTTTATACTTTATTATTAAAAATATTTATTTTTTTATATATAAGAATGATATATATTTCCCAGAGATTTACTTAGGTGTTCTTCCATTATAACTTAAGTGTAATAAACTGTGGTTCCCAACTTGCTATGAATAAGCAACACTTAGTTATGTCTGGCAACATTGTCTCATTTCTATAGTATAAAATTAACATATGGCTATCATGAAAATGAGACTTAGGTAATTAATCCATTGGTGATGGTGCTTTGGTCTTGTTTCCTACTGAAAGGATGTCCCTACTCAGAAATCAAGGGACATTTGCCATAGGTAATATGCAAGTTCATAATAAAAAAGAAGTCCATTCAATATAGACTCAAATTTCCTTATAAACTTATAATTTATAATAATTATAAAACGTGACATGTGTAACATATAAAAGAATAGAAACTATATAAGATGAATCTTATTTTCCTACAAAAACACTATTGTTATGAATCATTAAGTTTCACTGAGATTTTGACGTCCAATATTTTTAAATTGGACATCACACACATCCCCACACAAACATTTTTTAAAGTCTCTAGGGCTATACAACAAACCATTAATGTTGGTTATGTCGGGTGGCAGGATACAAAAACTTTTTATCACTTATCTGAATTTTCTAGTTTAGCTATAATGAAAATATTTTACTTCTATAAAAAGGAACTCTCAGTTAATAATATTAGTATCTATCAATCTAACAGGAATACAAAAAGAAATCACGTATATTGGTGAAGGAGCTTGCAGGGAGGCGGGAGATGGGGAGAGAGAGAAAGAAGCACAGAATGACACAAAACAACCAACACAAAGAGAGGGAAAGAAAAACAAGACACATACACACAGAGGATCTGAGGAATCAAAACAAAACAAGAAACCAGAAACCCTCAAAAGGAAGGACATACTGAAGTGATTTCTACAGAGATGTATTAGAAGCACATAAAAAATTGATCGTATGTGACTCTTTGCCATAGGTTAGAAACTACAAATGGCACTTTCTGAAAATTTACTTTTCCTAGAATTTCAAAATCACAGCTGATTTACTTTTGAACATTGATGCTTTAAGTGGATTACAACTTTCAAAAGAGAATATAGAGGCTCGATTTTGTCACTGTTAAAGCAAATATGTGAAAGACAAATCAATTCCATATTATTTTGAAGTCAAATCTAAATAGTCACACAATATCTGAATTAAACAATCAATATTTTCTATACAATAGACTTGAATTCTAAATAAAAATGGAGAATATAAAGGTTAAAAAAAAAACTAGATTCAGAGAAAACTGAATATAATAAACTTCATCTAATACTCACTCAGCATTTTGATCTGTAGAGCTATGAACCGGCTTTCCCACAGTCTGGACCTCCTTTGATTAGGTAAAGCTGAATGATCTGAATTTAGCAATTTAAAATAGTTCTCCAAAATAGTGCTGGTTTCCACTTGACGCTGATCAGAGCTGCTAGTGAGAAGGATATGTACCACCTCTGTAAGGCACTTCAGAGTAAGTTCTACCTTCCTACCCACTTCTTCAGGATTTCCGTCCTCCCAAGAATCGCAATCGGCCAAAACTCTCATGAGAACCTCCATGGTGGCTGGAGAAATTGCTTGCAAAGCATTCCTCTGAAACATGAGAGACTAAAATTGAAACCCAAATCTAACAGAAGTGCTGTATGTTTGCAAAAACAAAGAGAATTTAATAAATCTGCAGACAACTTTTTCTTTATAAATCAACATTGAAAAAATTTTACACAGATACTTTGACAGACACCGCTGGTGTTTTACACATATTAGGTCTTCATTTCTTCACTAATAGAATTCTGATTTTATTCAGATAGTCATCTGCCCATGTAGAAAACTTACTTACCACCCTCCCTTGTAGCTAGGGGTAGCCATGTGACATAGTTCTGGTCAAGAATATATGCCAGTAGACCATGAAGAGGATATCACTTTACAAATAAAAAAGGGAAGGATCCTTTGCTCTTGGCTTTTTCACCCTTTTCTTGCCTGAAATGCAGACAAGAAGCTTGGAGCCACCTTTATATCATGAGGAAACAAGCCCCAGAATTACAGTAGCAGGCTACAGAGCAGAACAGGAACACAAGGACCTTAGTCCCTGATGATATCATTGAGTTGCTGTGCTATCCCAGACCGCCTGCATCTGGATTTCTTATGCAAGAATAAAAATAAACACGTCGATTTGGCCAAGCCTCTCTCAGGTTTTCTGTTGGTTATAGCAAATGACATATATCATTTATATCATATTATCCCAAATAATATAGACATATAAGAGGACTGGCTTGGCTCTGATTCTACAAACATATTTCTGAAACTCTAAGTAACTGGTAGCTATTTGAGGTGATCCATTAAGCTTGAAATAAATATGTTGCCCTAAATTGTTAAATTCATAAATAATAAATCAGAGTATAATTATGTAAAATCATCTGAAAGTAATAACACTTAGGCCATTTGGACTGATTATCAATATGATAAATAATATCAATAATAACAAGTGCTACTATGGAAGCAATTGCTGATGGCCCATCCAACATCAATTTTCCTCTGCTTCCTTATTAACAGAGCCCCTGATGTTTTTGCTGGACACATGGCTACCAGGAATAAACATTACATTTCCTAACCTCCCCTGCTGTTAAGGGGGCTGAGGAAACAACTTTTATCAAATTTTTTATCTGAACATATTTGCAACTTTGCAGCTATCTGATGGAGTTTGGCAAATGAGATACTGTCAGCTTTTCAGTATCTCCTTCAGAGATAATTGGCACCTGCCACTTGTCTCCTTCTTCACCTCCCCCTCCATCTTTGTGCCCAAAATGTAGACATGGTGGCCAAAACTCTAGAAGCTATTTTGTACCACAAGAAATAATAGTAAGGATAATAAATTGACATTCAAAAGGTACCTGAGTCCCTGAAGAGGTTAGAGCCACCAGATTAACTCTGGACTGCTTACAGCTATTTTATTTTTTTAAAACAAAAGAAAAAAGGTAAACTTCTAACTTAAGCTACTAGAACTTCAGTATTTACTGCAACTTTCAAGGAATCATAAATCTGATACCCCTGTGATATACTTCATTCTTATAAGCACAGGCACTTTGTTAAGTGTTTTACATATATTTTGTGTCATTTGGTCCTTATGACTGCCCTATAAGTGTTACTATTTCCACATTACAAAAAGAGAAACTAAACACATGTAAACAGTTTATCCAAGGTCACACAACTAGTTAGAAATGACATAGGATTCAAACCTATGTCAGTCTGGCTCCAGAGCCCCTGCTCTTAACATAGGACAAAACAGCATAAATATGCCAGTGGGAAGCCAGGCATGATGCTTTGGAAAGGGAGACTGGACTATTATGACTCTGTGACAAAGCCATTATTATGCCTTCAGCTATTCATCTAAATACCCTTGTACTGAGGCTATATTCAACAGCCTTCTGATTTCAATATATTTGTAACTATAGCTATGACCTGATTATAAGGATTTTGAGTATTTTCAGTACATAAAATAATAAATTGGGCTTCCAACCTATTTGATTTCCATGTGAGTTTTAATTACTGGAGGTCTCTTGGGGCTCAGTTACCCCAGGCCCTAACAAGAACAAGTCTGGGTATATTCAAAAAGGGAACAGGATCCAACCAGCTTCGGCATCAGTCAAAAACAACGTCATTTCCAATTTTACTCATGTACACTTATTAATTCTTATTCTTAGTAGTGGAGAAATGATGGAAATTGGGAGGTACTGAAGCAAAAGAAGGATATTAGCTAATAAAGGAAGGTGACAAAGCAAACAAACTGAAAAACAGGATTCTGGTCACCATCCCTCTCGCTACAGAGACTCTTATCTTCTACTAGAGTGCAGAGGAGAGGGCAAGGTGGCCCATTAGGAAACCCAAGCAGTATTATTAGCAATACCTGTGATTTTTGTCATCAATAGAAATCATATACATTTTCATGTATTATAGTTGTAGTGTCTTGAAACATCATTTACCCTCATCTCTTCTTTGAAATTACATTAGTCACTAGACTTGTTGCTGTATTTTTTTATTTGATGTGTTATAAAGAAGCACATTACTATGTTACAAACTTGTTTTGTTAATATTTTAGTAACTGCATTTCAGTATAGTTTCCTTTGTGATCATACGTATTTTATTTTAGGCATGTGAAAACATTCTGACCAGGGGCTATATCAGACTGCCAAAGGGGTATGTGATATAAAATGTGTTAGAAACCTCTGATCTAAACTCTGTGGCTAAACAAAACAAGTAGAATATTCCTTCTGAACTATAATCCTGTTTTCAACTAGTAGTTAGGTTCAAAGTTTACTACAGACAGCTTTTAAGATGTTCAATTTAAATAAATAAATAAAATTACTAGAACTTCTTATAAATAATTTAAAAACTAGTTTAGTTTGTTGAAAAATGCATATAAGCCACGTATATATGCATTTAATAAGTAAAAATAGACAGCAGAGTGACTAAATTCATATGTCTTAGGAAATCAAACGGCTAGAGTTTTATTTCATCAAATGAACTAACAGGGATGACTATCCTCTATATTCTAAAGTAAGAACTGGAAGCTGAAAGTTAATACAACTAAGAACTTCAAATACCAAGAACTGTTAAATCTAGTTATTTATGCAGTAATTTTATTGTTAATGCTAATATTATTACTTAGGTTTTTTTGGAACTTAATAAATAAAAGAAGTAAGTAAATTAAGTTTTAAACAAGATCTAAACTCAAAAAAATATTTGTTTGGTTCATGAAATTTTTAAAGACACAAAGAATTCATTAAATAATCTATGGAAAACTTTTTGTAATGTTTACTATCGTTTTATAGGTTAACTTCCAACATGTTCCTCACCTGCCCACCAGCTACAATGGCTCCAAAGAGATGTAATAAGCAACACTTAAGACTTTCCTTGAGATGTTCACTTTCTTGAAAACATTCTGTGAATACACAAAATAAATAAATAAGGTTTCTCTTTCACAGTATGACTGATCTCTAAGGAATGTCAGACACAGAAACATCAAAAACGATTTGTGTAGCTGATTCACTTTGCTGCACAGTAGAAGCTAACACAACATTGTAAAGCAATTATACTACAGTAAAAATTAATTATAAGAAACAAAACAAAACAGAACAAATTTTTTAAAAAAAGATTTGTGAAAGGCTAAAATTTGTTAAAAGGCAAAGTTAACATGCATTTTTTTTCATAGGAAAGGAAAAGAGAAACCATCAATCAGGGAGCATTTTAGATACTTTCTTTATGTTACCTCATTTAATTCTCATAATACTCCATACGAGGATGATATTTTGCCCCCATTTATAAATGAGCAAATGGAAGGTCAAAATTTAATACGGTGCCTAAAGTCATCGGGTTACTAAGTGACAGAGCTACAAATTAACCCAAATCTGCAATAAAACTAGATGTCTTTTTACTACTAGTACTACTGCTTATTAGTATAACTATTATTATTCAATTATAAAATTGAAAGAGTTAGATAAAAAGATCTCCTGGGTCCACTCCAGGGCCAATATTCTAAAGCTCTAGTACCAATAGTAACCTTTCTTTTAACATAATTTTATTGTTTTTAAAAGGTTATACAGGGCTTCCCTGGTGGTGCAGTGGTTGAAAGTCCGCCTGCCGATGCGGGGGACACGGGTTTGTGCCCCTGTCCGGGAGGATCCCGCATGCCACGGAATGGCTGGGCCCGTGGGCCATGGCCGCTGGGCCTGCGCGTCCGGAGCCTGTGCTCCGCTGCGGGAGAGGCCACAGCAGGGAGAGGCCCGCGTACCGCAAAAAAAAAAAAAAAGGTTATACATGCACATTACACAGAAAATTTTAAACAGCATAAAAGAACTGACAAGGAAAAGCAAGTTTCCCTCTAACCTATTCCTCAATCCACCTTGCTCTCCACACCTTAAAAAAAAAAAAAAAGCAAAAAAGCTCTACATATATTACTGCATTATGCTTTTTTGCTTAATACATTATGCTTAATACAGTCTGGGCATTATTACATCTTAACATATACATCTGCATTATTCATCAGTAGTGGAACGACTAGAGAGCATTTCACTACAACGATGTACCTTAATTTACTTAACCAGTTCTCTACTGATAAACATTTATGCTTTTCCATTTTCTTTTGATACTACTAACAATCCAGTAATGAATATCCTTTTGCATACATCATTACACACAAAGACAAGATAATAACAATAGAATTATACCCAATTTTTATACATAAGAAACATTACCAAAAAGAAACAATTTTGAGTTAAAGTGTATTGATAGAAATTTACATTTAAAAAATTAAGTCATTCCAGCTATGCTGGAATAACTGTCACTACACATGTTTTCCTGCTATAAATAACTAGAAAATTGGAAAAAATAGGCTCTAGAGATTTTTAGGTTCTAGAAATTGTCCTTGTATTGTGAAACACAAGAGAAGGAAAGCGAAGTAAACCCAAGGATCACCTCAGCTTTTGGTTTGTAGACATTTTCTGAACAAATGCAGAGAAAAGGGGAACCCTAAAAGAACATGGCTATTTGCTGAGTTAGGAGACAGATAAAAAGTTTGGGGAGGCCTAGGCAACTGGAATTTGTAAAGCAGTACTTGAATGGAGGAAGCTCTACATACAGAGAAAGCAATCCAGAAATATGCAAAGGGCTCACTTTGAGTCCAAGTACCAGTCCTAAATTATAGTATGAAATCCCACAAGACAGGCAAAAACCTACCAAGAAGTTGTAAACTGAAATTTCAGATTTCACACAGATGATAGAGTTCTGTTCAGCCACAGAGGACATACAGAAAACAAATTCTAATCATAAGATTGCTGGAGTGTCATATACTATACTAGTATCTGACAAAATAGGCAAGGAATACCACCAAGGCAAGGCAAGGAATATTACCATGGATACGAAGGGACATTTCATTATCAAAAAACAGGTCATGAAGATAAGGCTTTTCAAAAAATTTGCAATAGCTTATTTTAAAGACTTTACAACTACAAGTACTTGGGATAAATATTTGGGGATAAATTAACAAAATACGTGCACAATCTATGTGCTGAAAACTATGTAATACTGGTTAAAGAAATAAACATACAAATAAACAATGAGATATATCAGATTCATGAATTGGAAGTCTCAATATTCTTAAGGTGGCAATTCTCCTCAAATGGTTCCATAGATTCAATACAATCCCAATCAAAATCCCAGCAAGCTTTTTTGTAACAATACTGAAAAATGGATTCTAAAATATATATAAAAATGCAAATGATCCAGAATAATGAAAACAATTTGAAAAGGAAGAACAAAGTTGGAGGTCTTAATGACTTCAGGACTTAGTATAAAGTCGCAATAATCAATACAGCGTGGTAACAGCATAAAGGTAGACATGTGAAACAAAAAAGAGAATCCAGAAGTCAACCCATGTTTTATGGTCACAACAGATTTTTGACAAACGTGCCAAGGTAATTCAATGGAAGAAAGAAGAGCTTTTTCAACAAATGTTGCTGGAACAATAATGAAAAACGTTATGCTAGATAGAAAATACTAACTCAAAACAGGTAACTGACCTAATAGAAGAAAACATAAGAGAAAATCTTCATGACCTTGAGGTAACCAAGATTTCTTCGGTAAGGCACAAAAACCACAGATCATAAAAAAAATTTTATAAATTAGATTCCATTAATATTTAAATCTTCTGTGTTTTAAAAGACTCAATTAAATGAAGATGCAAATTGAATAGGATAAAATGATCTTCGTGATCAAGTCTGGAATAATTTTAGCATCAAAAACTATAACCTGGGGCTTCCCTGGTGGCGCAGTGCTTGAGAGTCCGCCTGCCGATGCAGGAGACGCGGGTTCGTGCCCCGTTTCGGGAAGATCCCACATGCCGCGGAGCGGCTGGGCCCGTGAGCCATGGCCGCTGAGCCTGCGCGTCCGGAGCCTGTGCTCCGCAAATGGGAGAGGCCACAACAGTGAGAGGCCCGCATAACGCAAGAAAAAAAAAAACAAAAAAAAAACAAAAAAAAAAAACTATAACCTGATTGTAACATTGAATAAATAAAAGTTGTTGAGTCCACAGTGATACACAAAAAAGAGAGAAAAAAAACTTATGTGCCCCACTAAAAGTAACTATTATTTGAACTCATTTTGAAAACAGACAGTAACAGGGAAAGATTTAAGTACTTTATCCAGCCTTTTTGGGAACAGCTGTAGTTTATCCCCAGTTGATGAGGGAAAATTCTTTTTTACAGAATACGACAGCTGATAGAACTGTAAGGATAGAATTTGAAGACCACAATATTGCAGCCCTCAATAAAATAACTGATCCAGGCAAGTATCATCAATGGATGCAAAATATTAGGTGAAAAAATGTTGAAAAATATGATATTCACCCTATGCCACAGTATCATTCCAAGGATATCTTGCAAAATTGCAAAAGGAAAAACATCTTTACAATTGAAAATTTTCATTATCACTACTGTGAATACTGATTAACAAAGGGTAGGAAAAACCCCTTCTCCTTCTCTATAGGAAAATGGACCAAGAATTATATTTCTGGAAATCTGACAAATGTGGACCATCAATGAGTGACAAATGAGTTACCAGGCAACACTGCTCATGGTAAAAATGGCCCTTGATCTGGACTAGGAAGACTATGATAACTATAAAATAACCTTGGGCTTCCCTGATTGCAACGTGTAATTTAGGCATTTCCCTTCCCAGGATGTGGAAATTACATTCATCGGTTACTATAAGCTATACATGCCTTCTATGGGATACTGTACTTCAAAGCCAGAGTGGCTCACACACCCACCAATTTGGTTTCATACCCTCACTTAGAAAACCCAAGAAAAACCCCTGGAATGTTCTGAGACCTCCTCCTGAAAAGAAACACCTACACTGTTCCATTGGCATGCTGGGTTTCCTACTGTGGACATGTGAGTTTGATTATCTAGCTGAAGGCAGTATCACTACTGGTGACCAAGCAAAGTGGGCACTGCAATCATCTTCACCAAGCAATCAAACAAAGGACTATTTCGTTAGCAGACATTTGGTCCTGTCCAAAATGTCCGTAAGATATTTGGTCCATGCCAAAAAGTCCTTGACATGTGGTCCTACCCAAAACCATGTGGCATGAACCAAATATGCTCATTTGGATAGGAGCAAATTTCAAGAACCTTTTGGCATAGCCAAGTGTCTTATGGACATTTTTGGACAGGACCAAATATCAAGGATCTTTTGGTGTGGACCAAATGTCATATATATTTTGGACAGGACCAACTGCCCTTCCAGGGACTATTTGTCTTATTTTATTTCTTAGAAAAAAAAAAAAAAAAGGAGTGAGAGAATTAAAGCAAATATGGCAAAATGGCAAAATGTTAAGATCTGACCAATTTGAGTGGGAAACACAAGGTGTTCCTTTTATATTCTGCAAAATTTTCTACATTCTTAAAATATGGCAAAATCATTTCTTTAAAGAAAGAAAGCTAGAGTCCATATAGGTCATACAAACGGGGACCAATTCTCTCAAGTTTATTTTCCGTAAAAATTCTAAAGTTTTAAAATATACTACTGTCATTAAAACATTCAGCTCTTCTCAAAAGAAAAACACTTTGAGAACAATGAATTAAATAACACCAAGAATAATAATCACAACAAAACATGAATCAAGTACTCCAGTAATAGTTTCTTAGAATCTTTATCTTATAAATACACAAAGCTGAATCAAGGTCAGAATCAGAATAAGAATAAGGAACAATCAAAGTAACATCAGAATCAAAGCAAGAGAAATTAGAGCTGTTACTTACGATAAAAGAAAGGGACAAACTCCACTGTGAGAGAAGCTGGTTTATATTTCTGTCTGCTCTTTTCCACAGTACTAAGGATTCGTCTATTGTTAAAAAGAAGTTAATACCAAATTACAACATGGGCAAGTAGAGAAGGCACAATTACAAAAACAATTATAAAATAAATTTAATATTTTACTTTTGATTTGTGTACTGAATAATACATCACCAGGATTGGCATAATCTTGAAATGGAAGTCTAGCCACTAATTTAAATGCTCACCAACTGAAAGGATTTCTTCTTTCGAATTACACAAAAATTTAAAACAATTAACGGTGAAATATAGCAGTCACATTAAGTTTCCTAACAACTGGAAACAGAAAAAGGAAATAGCCATTTAAAATTTCCAAAATGTAAAAGAACTAGTTCAGTAGTACTGCTAATTTGATACCTAAGGTAGTAGCTTATTCCTACAGTGCAACTGAAATTCATCAGAAATCAAGCTACTCTGTGCCACTTTCTGAAATTTTACATGGACACAAAGACTCCATACCACTGGCTTCTTCCACCTGAAGGATACAGATCCAGAGGGCTGGGATTATTTTGTTTTTAATTACAATTTCAGTAATTTTGATGGCTGAAATATTTCTACTGACTTTGGTAAGGCCAACACAAACAGCATGTGCTTTTACAGAGAACACTTCAACACAAAATGAATCTCTTAGATGGGCATGGTGGGTGTGGGGCTTAGGGAATAAAGGTTACTGTTACAATGACATATCAGCAACTGGTGGACTGTTGAAAATCGAAAAAAAAAAAAAAAGACTTTTTTCCATCCCCCAAACAAGCTCTTAACACGGTTAGAAACCTAGAAAAATGGTACAGGTGAACCGGTTTGCAGTGCAGAAATAGAGGCACAGAGGTAGAGAACAAACGTATGGACACCAAGTGGGGGAAGTGGCAGGGCAGGTGGTGGTGGTGGGATGAACTGGGAGAATGGGATTGACCTGTATACACTAATATGTATAAAATGGATAACTAATAAGAACCTGCTGTATAAAAAAATTAAATTTAATTTTAAAATTTAATTAATTAATTAAAATAATGTATAAATACGCTCCAAAATCTTTTTGCTCTCACTAAAAAAAAAAGGTAGTAAAATCATGCCTTTACAGAGAGCAAGTGATTTAATAAACTTTGTTAAATCTTAAAACAACAACAACAACAACAAAACACTGTTAGAGCCAACAAAAATGGAAAATATTTGGAGAACAGCCACATAGAAATTCCATACATTTAAATACAATAAAGCACTGGATTAAGATGCCTTCTTCTCAACAATTTGAACAATATTCAATTAAGGTATTGAAATTATTTTCTTTATAATTATTACAATTGTTCCTTATAATTATATAGAAAGAAAAGCCAGTTGATCATAGAATAAGCTGAACAGGATAGGCACAGCTGGACTTAGTACTGACACACTAAAGAGTTCTAAGATCCAGATCTAATATCCAGATTCACTAGAAATCATATCAGATACCATTTGCTACAGCACTGCTTTCCAAATCTATGCCTATTTCCATTGCGTAGAGGGCTTAAGAATTATCATACTTCTGTATGTAATTTAATTTCAAATATAACATCTTAGAACATTACTGGATCTTCCTATTTAAGATCATTATCAAAATTTTTTATGTGTTTCCAACAATACAAATATTACTAGAGCTTCAAATAAAAAACTGAGTCATGCCTTAAAAAAATTAGTCATGTTGTAGAAAAAGTAATTTTAAAAGGATGAAATCTGATTTAGCTTTCAGTTAGGTTTTTCCACGTGATTATTTACATTTTGCACATTTATTATAAATTATGATATTAACTAATACATTGGATATATCCTATCCAAAAATCCTGTGCTACAAACAAAAATAAAGATTCTCACTTGATTAACATAATGAAAATGTACTCCTGCAATTTGTGATTAATGACTCATTCTAAAGGCTCTGTATTAGATGTAACATATGAACATAAATAATTTCCATTATAATTGTGCTAAAATTTAATAAGCTAAATTAAAGAGGTGAAAACTATTATACATAACACAAATATTAAAGCATAGGTAGTTTGCACTGCATGTTTTCAATAGGATAAGACAAAACAGTTAATAATGTACCATTTTTAGAATATAGTTTATTTGGTTGCTCCATTATTAGCTGATATTTGGGCCAAGCGTTTAGCACCTAGTTGACGCCAATACATATCAACAGGTTGCTGAGAGGGATGTAAAATGTTTGCTTGCATCTCAGTTTTCTAAGTTTATGTCCCCTGGTCAATTTTTCTGTGGTTTTGTGTGTGTGTGTGTGTGTGTGTGTGTGTGTGTGTGTGTGTGTGTATGTGTTTTCCCATCATACCTAGAACATAACTACTTTTCTTAATTTTTCAACTTTTTATCTGGAAATAAGTTCAAGCTCTTACAAAAGCTGCAAGAATAAAAATAGTACAAAAAACTTCAAGTATAGTCTACCCAGGTTCACTGTTAAAACTTTATTCTAAATGCTTTATAATTTTCTCACTCCCCCCTGAAAAAAATATATATGCACATATAGCTATATATGAGATATATATTTATATATACACATATTCAGGCCTATAATATTTTTCAGAACATTTAAGGGAAAATTATGAATATTATAGCCTTTTACCTCTAAATACTTTAGTGAAAAATTCCTAGGAACAGGGATACTGTCTTACATAACACTACAGTACAGTTATAAATTTCAATACGCTTAACATTAATGTAATACATTTATCTAATCTATCATTCATAATCCAGTATGTCAACTGACCTAATCATGTCCTATAGCATTCCCACCTTCCCACCCCTAAGTATAGTCTCCTGTCCAGGGTCAGGTATTACATTTGGCTGTCACATCTCTTCAGCATCCTTTAATCTGTAACATTTCCACAGCCTTTCTTTATGACACTTTTAAAGAATACTGTCTCCTAACCCCTCCTTTTACTCATTAAAATGTTGTTCATCTGGAGTTTGCTTGATGTTTCTATACACTTAAGATTCAGATTATGCATTCTTGGCTGGAATATTATACAAGCAATGATGGGTCCTTCTTAGAGTATCACAGTTGTAAGCACAGGATGTCCACCTGCTTCTCAATGATGATGTTAATTTTGATCATCCAGTCAATGTACTACCCAGTACTGTACAAAATAACTACTAATTTTTCCTTTGCAACAAATAAGTAATCTGTGGAGAAACATTTTAAAACCATGCAAAAGCCATGTTCGTTATCAAAACCTGCCCCTAGACTTAGCATCCTGATCCATATCTTTCCTATGATGTGTGCAAAATGCTGATTTTTTCCCAACACCAGCAGCCCCTGTACATTACTAATTGGCATTTGGCCTTCTAATGTAAGCAACAGCCCTCTCTTCTCCCCTATCTCTCTTTCCTCTCTCTGTCTCTGTCTCTCTCTCAATCTTTATCAATCACTGGTATGGACTCATGAATTCCTTTTTTCCCCCAATGGTTTATAATTCTTTAATGAATTATTTTTGCGTATATATTGTCCCAGATTTGGCCAGTAGGAGCCCGAAGACATAACTTAATGTAAATTAATTTTCTCGGGACTTCCCTGGTGGTCCAGTGGTAAAGAATCTGCCTTACAACACAGGGGACGCAGGTTCAATCCCTAGTCAGGGAACTAAGATCCCACATGCCACAGGGCAACAACTACTGAGCTTGCATGCCTCAACTAGAGCCCATGTGCCGCCAACCACAGAGCCCACACACTCTGGAACCCAGCACCACAACTACAGAGCCCTCACGCCCTGGAGCCTGCACACCACAACTAGAGAGAAGCCTGCGTGCCGAAACGAAAGATCCCGCATGCCGCAATGAAGATCCCACGTGCCGACCCAACACAGCCAAAAAAAAAAAAAAAAAAAAAGTGAAATAATGTTTTTTAAAAAAACCATTTTAGTCTGTGGGCAGACAATGAGTCCTACTGAACTTACACTAGGCACAAAGTAGGAAGTCAATAAATATATTGTTTGTTTTTGTTTTTTGGCTGCCATGAGGCACGCGGGATCTTAGTTCCCTGACCAGGGATCGAACCCATGTCCCCTGCAATGGAAGCGTAGAGTCTTAACCACTGGATCACCAGGGAAGTCCCAATAAATATATTTTTAAATAAATGCTTGAATGAATAAGTCATTTTCAGGAAAGATTTCTTTCCCT